GTGATGTGAGAGCCTGGTCCGGTGAGAACCCGGCGTGCTCCGTCCCGGCTTTGCAGGGATGCGAGGTCAATGGTCTAACGACTACGGCACGCACGACTATGAGTACACCCCCTAGAGATTCAGCCATCACACCAACGAAAACACCCCCCCCCGCTCGCCTGTCCATTGTCTATCTGTGATAAGCGTGCAAAACCACCCCAAAAGACGAACGAAAGAAAAACAACTTGCTCTGACACAATTCGAGAAGACTGGGCGATCCGAGCGCGCGAAGATGACCTTGTGAGAGCCCGCGTTATTTTGCACAAAGTCGAGGGAATGGGACATGAGAAAAACGAAGGAAGACACAAACATGTGCATGTGAAGTGGTGACATGAGAGGCGCGAAGCAGGAGACAGGCATGCTGATGAAAGTAGTGACGGGCATAAAATCATCATTTTTCCCGGTTGGTGGGTNCAAGCCAGCCTTTCCTACGCAAGACACAGAAAATAGACGCGACTACAAGATTACTCACTGCACGGATGTAGAGCTCAAGCGGCCGAAGAACCCTCCTCGTCATGAACCACGCGCTGTTTCTTGGCCGGGGAGCAGACGGCCTGCTCCTTCTTCAGGGCGAAGTCGAGGAATTATCCGAGGAGCACGGCACGCTGTCCGTAGAAGCAGTTGTCCCAGCGAAACATGGAGGGGTCCTTGTCGGTTCCTCCGTTGGTGTCGTAGAGCAGGTGCGCAACCTTGCGGCAGATGCCGCAGGCGTAGTCCTTGTTGTCCTCGATCTTGCGAACTTTCTCTTTGCAGACGCGTCCATCGGCGTCTAGTTGTCCTCGATCTTGCGAACTTTCTCTTTGCAGACGCGTCCATCGGCGTGGGTGTAGATGCGGTCCTTCAGTTCACCCATTCCGAGGTAGAGGGTGGAAAGCCCGATAGGGGCGGCGCAGCTCTGGCAGTTGAAGGAGACTTAAGGCTTCCCGCGGCGGGCGACCCTGGCGATGGCGTTCGACTTAGGAATGATCTTCCGGCATCCGCCACAGCTGTCGACCAGCAAAACACAGGCGAGGTTTGGGGACCCGAACCTGGGAATCACGCTGGTATGTGCAAAGAATTCACGGTGCGGAGTAAATCTCACGGGCCAATCTTTCAGTCTGTTTCCGATGTCCTCCAACGCAACTGGCCGCGGACGCCGCGGTTCAAACGCTCAAATCCGCGGGAATGCCCACAGCCGTGGGCGGAGCAGCCGTCGGTCACACTCTCGGCGCCAACAACAATCGCGTCCAACTTCCTTTTTCGGGACCGGCCCAGCCAGCGTTCCTGCTAATAATCACGATGTCCCAGATATCGTGCCGCTTGGCGCTGGCGGTACCACGGCCGGGCAGCCTCATCATATGGGCGGTCCTCCTATATCGCGAGCTGCGTTACGATCGGAACGAATCGCTCAACGCGACCAACGCGCAAGAAGAGCAGAGGCGGAAAGTCAGGCAGCAACGGACAGGCGAATTGAGCAACGTCAGCGTATCGCTCGAGACGAAAGGAATAGAAGAGACAGGGAAGGAGAGCAGCCATGACAGAAAGGAATAGGTATGGCGTGGTGACCCGTAACCTGTATCTGTGCTGTTATTTTTGGTTAGAGCGACTGGGTATATTTAGGTAGTCCATATCGGTACAACGAATCCTAGTGTTGAAAGTACCTACTCCTGTACCCCACCATGAAGCAAGGTGCACTTATTACAGAGTGCGGGGTACTACCACCTTTCGACCTACTAGGTACCACTTTTCCATTACACATGAAATAGTGTTCTTGACTCGTTTCCGACGTTCTTCCCTTTTTCCAACAACAGCAACAACAGTCGAAATGCCAGGGAAGCACGGAATAGAAGCGACAGGCAGCGACGAGCAGCTGAAACGACTAAAAATAGGTGAATTTTACCTACGATACAGAGTAGTCATATTGCAGGAAAGAACGGCAAGGAGCGAATAGCAGCTGCTCGGAACCAAGACATAAACATGTCAGGCACTCGTTTGATTTTCAGCTGCTCGGAACCAAGGCATAAACATGGCAGGCACTCGTTTGATTTATGGAACCCCTATTGTCGTGCCATGACACAGGAACGACCGCAATCACAGGCGAAGAGCACAACCGGCAAGAAATAGGTAAGATATTTTCCTGCATCAAAACTGTCGCTAAAATATTTCAAATGAGGCAGCCGATTACCATTAGTATCACAAACAGAACTGTACTTTTCTTGATGATTGTACCGTGCAATATTCTATATTTCATTCTGTCCGCCGTGTGCTTGTCCCTTCGTCCTTCAGGGGGCCGTTGCCTTTCGCACCTTGTATCACAAAGCCGCCTGTACTAGCGTGCGACCACGCTGAAGGGGTGGTTGACGGTCACGACCGTCCATTGTACGCCGTCGACGACGTCCTCAACTCCTCAGTGCTACACCACTGCGCTTCGAGGTTCATCACCAAACTCGCCGACTCTGTCCTCAGGTGAACTCAGACTAAAATATCATGCCGTCTCTCACTCGCATACTAGCCAATTATTTCGCATGCAAAACCTATCGGAGCGCCCGCCAACAAACACCCTCAATTTATCAGGTCTCCCCCCCCCCCATTTCATTTTTGTTTGCAGCGTATCATGCGCTGTTTGTGACTGCATGTGCAAAGAGAGGGACTGCGAGTGGTTGTCAGCGGGATAGTTGCCCAACCGAGACTTGCTCACGGCCGACGCCAAGCTTACCAATTGTGACGCGGTGAGGCCGTTGTTTTCAAACTATCCTGGCGACAATAGCAACCTCCTCAATAGCCTTGTTTTGCAACGAGAGGGTTTCAAGAGTACTGCGCCACACCGATTGCGGGTTTGCTCCATCTGCTTGGCGGACCTCCGGAAGAACAAATGCCCGAAAGCAGCCAAAGAAAACTTTTTTTTTGGGAGAGTTCCCGGCAGAGCTGAAAGAGGCCACGTGGGTTGAGGTGTTGGCGGCGAGCCCTGTCAGGCTAAGCGGGACTATAATCGCCCTGGAACAGCTAAAAGTTGGTCGTGTGCCTGGTTCAGCCAAGAGCATGGACAACGCCACGGAGAGGATTCGGACAGACAGGGTAGCGGTGATGTCAACGGCGCCGATGACGACGACGGCGCACTGCCTCCGTGTGTGATTGAAACCAAAGCCGTCATGCCTTCAGGGAGCGATCTTGCCAAATCGTCCAGTACAGGCCTACTAGGCTAGGAGCGTCGCAAGCGAAGTTAAGTTCGTCCGACTCCACGGAACCTGCGTTTCTTGCGCAGCACGCAAACGCATAAGCTGCTGCTGCCGCTGGCTTGGCTCCGCCCGTGCTTCCTCGCAATGCCATGATCATCACGCACACCAGTCAAATGGTGTCTGACTTTTTACGATGAAGGATTGTTCGTGGCAGCCTTTTTTGATCTCTTTCCGCACGGAATCGGGGGGCACTTGGACGAAAGAAGGAGGTATATGAGTTTCCAGGAGTGGGCGAAAATTTTACTGCGGCAACGTGATCCGCGCTTCAGGAAGCACAAGAGCTTTTTGTTCTGTGTATGGGCGCTTATTTTCAGACGAGAAGCCATCAAGAACGCTCGTTGGAAACTAACTGGCAGGATGTCCAGGCGCACAGCCGAAACGCTTGCTACAATTACCCCGGAGGATTTGGCTGCTGCTGCGAAGGAAATGGAGCAGGGCAGCAGTGTTTGGTCTGCCTTGGCCAACCGTAATGCTGTTCGCACGTTGCTCACGACCATGGAATCCGTGCACGCCGGCTCATCGTGGACCATCTACAACAAAAGGTCGACAAGGATGATCGCCATCTCCCTTATTATGCAGATTGGACAACCGCTGTGGTGGATGACGATTGGCCCTGCTGATACAAAGAGCCCCATCGTTTGAAACTGGCTGGCGTCAACATCGATGTGACATGTCGCTTGATCCAAGATTATCCTGACTACGCCAAGCGCCTTCGACTGGTAGCGAGCGACCCCGTGGCTTCCGCTCTCTTGTACCACTCGGTCACCGACGCGGTACTCACCTGCCTGCTTCGATTCGATGCGCGTGATGGAGATGGGGGAGTACTTGAGCGCGTCAAAGGTGATTCTTCTGTTTCTTCCTTTCTAATCTGTACGAGATAGCACCTCTTCCTCTTCATAGTGAATACGTGGAATTCTTCACAATTCCACCTATTATTGCTGTTCATTGGGCATACCTTGACCTTAAATATTTAATTCCCTGCTGTCCATGTTACTTCCTTTGTGGCCGATAATACCCAGGATATCTGGGCATGACCAAAGAACAACGCCGCCTTATGCTCCATTTCCATGTCCTGGTATGGGTGTACGGTTTCAACGACTTTTCCAGCTTTCGCGATCTTATGGACAAGCGTCCGGAGAAGTACAACAAGCTTGCTCGGTTCTTGGAACGAGTCATCTTCAACCAAGTCGTCTCTTTCGCGAATGTCAACCTCGCCATGCACGGACACGACCACACGCCCAGAGCTTCGAGCGAACCCGAACCGGAGAACGTCTCTGATCCACTCGTGCGTCCCGCTAAAGAGAGAATGGCCCAACCACCACCTACAGCATGCTTTCCCCGTCGAGCGTTGTTTCGTCCACGACGACAGCTACCCCCGTTTCATGTACCTCGACCTTGCGGAACTGGTTCCTGGGGCGCAGTTACACCGCTGCCAACCAACTTGCCACAAATTCAACAACAGGGACAAGTGCAGGTGCAGAATTTCATTCTCTCCGTTCGAACTATTCTGTGGTACATATTTAGACCCAGCTCCGCGTACACCTCATGTTGATGTCGCACTTTATTCATCTTTGTTCAATTGTATTATGTGTGTGTGTTTATAATCGTGTTGCATCCAGGTTTGGGTATGGAGACAAGGGCAAATCTTTCGAGCAGGAAACTACCGTGGTCAGGGGTCCCTGTACGTTCCACACCAACGGCAGCATGACCATCAACGGAGTTGTCTATCCCCCGGGAGATCCGTCGACGGCAGAAGGTATGGTCGCTGCCCAGGCTTTTTAGGACGCTTTCAACGAGTGCGTCTCTGCATCTTCTGAGCCCGAGTCCGACCGCTTCACGGCCACCTTGCGCCTTCTCAGCACCCACATCAACCCCTACAACCCCATCATCCACTTCCTCATTCGTTCCAACATGGACTTGAACGTTATGCTCCGAGATTCCGACGCGAGGGGACTGCTTTACTATGTGCTTCATTACTCGACGAAATCGGAGCAAACGTTGGACGTGTTGTTGCCACTACTCTTGCCGGTCGTACAACGAATAAGAGACCATAACGAAGGAGAGCCGGCCAAAGAGACGGCGGTGCGACTCGTGAGATCTTGCCTTTGCAAGCAACTCACAAGCCTCAACATTGGCGGGCCGGCTGCAGCGAGCAAGGTTTTCGGCTTGCCTGATGCCAAAATCTCACACACCACAGTGCCCTGCCCAATGGGGCCGTTGCTTGCATGGGCATCGTCTAGAGACACTCCAGATGAAGAACCCGACGATGGCGACTCCACCAGCGGAGACGACCAAGAGGACTCTGGCGATGAAGCATCGGATGATCAGCACGGAGTTGTCGTATCGGTTGTAGGTGGTCGCCTGACGGTGAACCAATGGGCTCACGTTCTCTACCTCCACCGGTGCTCCCCTGAAGATACAGAGCATGCCCTGCACGGTATGTCGTACGTCTCGTGGACCAGACTCGTTCGTACTGAGCGTTACACACCATTCAAGAAAGCATACAACTGTCGCCAGAGGGTCAGAGATAGCGAGAGCGAGAGCGAAAGCGACAGCGAGGGTTCTGGTGACGACCTTGACGACATTCAACCCTAACGACGGCGGCGAGGGCGTGCTCCATCTGCGCGATACGACTGTGCTGGCCACTTCCACAAGAAATGGGTGCAAGTAAGACTCATTCGTGTGGTTGTTGCAATAGTGTAATACTTGACGTAAATGAAAAAAAAAAGGCGCCAGACAAACGTTTCATAAAACTTCATCGTTCACGCGTTTGGTGTGTCTCCCGGGCAGGTTATGCGCCAGGGACCTGTCATGGTCAACATCATGCGGGACATTCCACGTTCCGACACCAAGCCCGAAGCTCACTGCCGCCTCCTTCTGTGCATATTTGTGGCACTCTTTGAGCTAGAAGACCTCAAACGTGTTGGAGACTCCTGGACGACCGCCATGGCTAACGTGGAACAGCATGACAGGTGGGACAAGCGCACAAAGCCATTCCGACTAAACATCGCTGGCATGCTGCGACAGCGAATCGCTGCCGACGAAGAGAGGGCTTACAGGGAGGAAGAGGAAGCTTTCGTTTCGGGCAGTAGTGGGCAGGGGATGGAAATGGGATCGGACGGTGAGGATGAGATTATCCTTAACGACCTCGGCGGCGACGACGACGACGACCAAAGCGTCTTTCTCGTCACAAAGCAGGGAATTCTCATGCAGGCTTTTGTCCACGACGCTCATGATGCTTTCGTGTCGGCCGGGCTTCGCGGCAACGACAGCCAGGCGGGTCAGTCAGTCGCCCTACCTTGTATCAGGTCGGTGGAGGAGGTTCAGGCTGACGTTGAGTGCATCACCACGTTGACCGCCACATCGGCTGAGGCGGAATTGGCACGACAAGAATCAACCTCGACTTGAATGACTTCAATGAAAAACAGTCAGGCTGCACCTCTGGGAGGGCCAAAAGCGACCGCACCAAACGCCGATCCGCACCCCCCGACCAATCACTCCGATCCTGTCGCCATCGAACCGCATCTCGTGCAGCTACGCGAGACGTTATGTGCTGGTTTGTCCCAGTCGAGTGTAAGAGCATAAATGCCAGACGAGACCGGAACAACCAAGAGGTAGCTCGCACGGACATAGGAGCAGCAGCGCCTTCTCAGCACCCCGTGGCCTTCCGAATTGCCCAGGAATTCGGCTTAAACCGCGAGCAGAGGCTTGCCTTTTACATTTTCGCCAACGGTATATTTGCCAAGAAGCGGTCGCCTCACTCGCCCGTTATGATACTCTATATTGGTGGTGGCGCCGGGGCAGGGAAGAGTTGGGCCTTCATCGAGTGTCCCGCGCTTGACGGATAGATCGAGGAGGGCGGAATGCTCGCCGTTGCATTTCAGGGAAAACAAGCTGCTTCTGTTGGAGGAACCACCATCCATTCCGTCTGCAACGTACCTGGTAGAAAAGGTTCCGGGGGCAAAGACCACGACGATCAGAAAGGACTCACCGAAGACCAGGCTCTATCTTGGGAGGGCAAAAGCGTGTTAGCTGTAAAGGAGGCTTCCATGGTGGGCTGCGAGATGGAGCTGGCGCTTGACAAAGCTGCTTGTAAAGTGTTCCCGATGCACAAGGATAAACCTTTCGGAAACATGGTGGCTGTTTTCTGTGGGGACTTCAATCAGCTCAGGTAATGTGTATGTACAAGGCCTTTCCACGATTGTATTTCAGTTCTACTACCAGTTTTTCGAAACCTGGCCAATAATTTGTCACTGCGCGTGATTGGAATGACCTCAACACATTGTTGTCTGTCTTCTACTTGATTTTCCCTATGTTCAGGCCCGTCCAAGCAACCTCCCTCGCGTCTGGCGCAAGCAGTTCGGGTGCCCGAGCTGGCTTGTCCACTTCTGGGAAGTATGGCACGGAGCTTTTCCGCATGACGAACGCGTGCGTTTTCCTCGACCAAAGGAGCAACCGTTTCGACGCCGAATTTGCACCGCTGATGGACAGGTTCTTGCACTCCAGGTCCACGTACAGCGATGTTATCAAGTTCAACACACGCGTCTTGAACGGCACACCTGGGTTGAGTGCGGCCGACTGTTACGACGGAAAGGTCATCACTCTCCGAAATAAGGTGAATCACTCCGCATAGACTCTTGTTTGAGGTAACAAATAGAGACGTGGATGCGTTCAAATCTGTGCGGGTATTCCATTACGCGCTTCCTTCTCTCCCCACGTTTGGCAAACGCGCCACAGCCAGTTCATCACTCTTTTATTCTGACATGCCATGACAGGGGAATGCTGTTGCCACATAGTCCTCGCAGCAGTCCAAACAGTTCGATACTACTTTGGATGTGTTTGCTATTGTTAACACTGGATTATGCCCGGCACAGGTAACCACAGCTCTTACCATGCCCACGATGCGAACGTGGTGCCAATCCCGAGGTACTACTCTTTTCATCTCGTCTGCCACGGATGAATTCGTCGGGGATGAGGGTGGTGGCCGACCAAAAGAGGTGAGTGATTCAGCGTTGTCTCTTCCCCCGTGCCAAATGCATTCTAGTTTCTTCCAAGTACCTACCTCTACTTCTCGTTCCGTTTCCTCGCCGTTGAAAGACTGTATGCTTTGCGGCAGGTTCACCAACATATGGCGTAGTAATAGGTTGAAGTTTCGATAATGAATATATACCAGGATGCATCATGCAGGGTTCACAGTATCTAGTTCGTTTGCGAATGACAGCAAGTGGGTACAATTTCAGACAAAAAAATTGCATCACCGCACGATTCTCGTTTTTTCGCACTCTCAGACTCCGCAAGCAGGGGCCGCTTGGCCTCCATGCCTCAGGAACGAGGTGAATTCCCTCGACGATACGAAAACGAAAGACCTTCCGCGACAACTTTGTCTCGCTGTCGGCGTCCCTATCGTCGTCCACAAGAGCCCGCAGCACGTCCTCTTGGGAGTCTGCAGCAACCGTGATGGTATCGTTCGGGCCATTGAGCTAGACCAGCGCGAGCAGATCCAAAACCATGATGGCGGCTACAGGGTGGTTCACCTCAAGCACCTCCCTGTTCGGGTATTCGTCCACATCGAATCTATGGACGACTCTGGCCTCAAACTGCCAGGTTTCCCGCGTGGGGTCGTCGCCTTCGGCCCGATCGAGCGAAACGTTGTTCTCACTGGAAAGAACGGCCGAAACTTCACCATCAAACGGCGACAACTTCCGCTTACGTCCGGTTGCCTGTCGTCCGTGTATAGTCTAGAGCGCAGGGGCTCACTCCCAGGTACCACCTTCATAGCTGTGCGGAACATAACCTGTCATTTTCATATCCGATCACTCATCATCTCTGGCGTGGTGCTACGGACCATACGCACCTTATTTATACTAGGATACAGCAGCTATCGCCATAACCGAGCGATAGTTGATACATGAAACTGTCGTCAGACAGGTGCGTCCACGGGCAGAAATAAACTGCAATAAGCCCAAACGATCATTGTTGCCTTTCCCTCATTAACTCTCCCGCAATTTTCTGCCAGGCGAGTTATTCTTGATCTACGGAAGCCACCTGGACCTCGTGTCGACCCTGCCTCCTTGTACGTGGCGCGCTCTCGAGCGAAATCGCTCAACGACACCTACCTTCTCTTCCCCGTCACGCTTAACGACCTGTCTCGCCCACGCGACGCGGATGTTGTTGCTCTCATCGACTGCCTCCGCCGTCTTGCAAAGGACACTCTCAACGCGTTCACGTCTGACCCATCAACCTTCATCCCGTCAGCCACGTCTTTGCCCACGGACAGTGACTACGACTCCGGCGAAAACGACGGAGGGAGAGGGTCCGGGTGGTTGGGGGGGGCATCGAGAAGGAGGCAACTACAGCCGGCGCACCTCATGCCGAACAGCGCCAACAATTGCTTCTTCAACTCCGCCATCGCTTTGTGCCTTGCGGTTTTCGACGGCCACACTCCACCCAACTTTTCCGATTGCACCCCTGCTGCCACAGCATTCTGTCCAGCGATTCGTCTCGTCAAGGACAACATGCTCAGCGGCGCCCCAATGCCGGAGCACATATAACAGGGTTTTCGCCTGATTGAGAGCGGAGTATACGATTGAGAGCGGGAGCCAAAAAAATTGAAATTTCGGGTCCAGACGCCTCTTGCCATTTCTTGGGAAGTAGGGGGCGGGCTCTTCCAAGAAGCGGCGCAAATTGAAGGTCTCATCAG